CCACGACCACGACCACGACCACGACCACGACCACGACCACGACCACGGACGACGACCACGACGACGAAGACGAAGACGACGAAGACGAAGACGACGAAGACGAAGACGAAGACGAAGACGAAGACGACGACGACGACGACGACGAAGACGAAGACGAAGACGAAGACGAAGAGGATGATGATGAGGATACTGGCGGAATAGCGAGAATACACACAACATAGAGAAGGCATATGTCTGAATCGCATCACGCTTCATGGCTTTTGAGCTATATTTGCTTTCAGCACATACTGTATCCAGGTTGGAACTGCCGCCCCCATGCAGGGACAGCAAAGCTTTGTTTGCTCCATGCTATATCGATATTGGGACCTCCCACTTTCTCCTGCATCTTTGGAGAGGCAGATATTTTTGGCCAACAAGTTATAAAAGGAGAGAAATATAAAAAGAGAGAAACATAGAAAAAGCTGAATCGGAAAGGGCCGCAGAAAAGAATATTCCTAAACTTGGGCGTTTGTGTCATTGGTTCTAATGTCACTCTGCCTGAATCTCGTTGAACTTGGACAACCTGCACTGCCTGGTTGCTGCTGCTGAGTGTTAGTACTCTGGATAAAACCACAGTTCCCTTCATGCATCCTTGCATGAACATGCATCACACAGGTAATCCTGAACGTCTCTACTAGGTCAACCCGAAGCGCTTCTGAGGTTGGTGCTTTGTTTCTGATTCTGCAGCAAATCTCAGTGGCGATGCTACGAAGCGCGAATGTGCCACGGCAGAAGGGGTTGCTTCATGGGGTGGTGGTGTTGTCCTGGCAAAGTCAGACTATGAGTCAAACTCAACTTGGGAAACCTGGGAAGTGCTACTTCAGCAGAGTCCACGCACACACAGAGTAGCGTCATTCTGACCAGCTGCTGTTGTGACTTGCATACCAAGCATTTTTGTTGTAGCTCACTTTCAACTGAGATTCTGCGATTGATACGGGTGCTGAAAGCGATGAAGCACCTGAGATTCTACCAAAGGACGTGTGTCATTGCTTCTTGGCAGCCGCGTGTCATTGCTTCTACCGTCTCCTGACAAGTGCCCTTGAGGCGAGGTCTGAGTCAGTCGGAGAGGGGCTGAGTCATTCGCTGAGGTGACAAACTTACTGCGAACGTGCAGAGAGGCGAGGATGAAATGCAAAAAACTCTTCCGGTTTTCAGGCCGTTAATTCTTTCTATTTTTAGATATTTTTAGCTTCTTTTTGAAAGCCCCAGGGGGGGTAGGCCGTAGCTAGGTAGCTAGGAAGGTAGTAGCTAGGTGCCTAGTAGATACAAGAACGTTGTTACATATGGACGCAGGATAGCTCACGCTTCTTCAAGGAAGCTCTCCCCGGCCCTAAAGGGTGGGAGCTTCCTTGAAAAAGTGCTCGCACTAATGACTTGGTTCCTAGATTTTTAAGGAAACTTAACTACATTAGCCCGAATGCGGTGTCCAAATGTTGTCGCTGGTTCGATGTGGTTTTCGGGTTATCCCAGGTCCTGCTTCTGAACCTGCTAGTGGTGCTGCTGTGGGCCTCTGCTGGCGTGGCTTGCCTCTTGTTTTTGTGGCAGACAAGCTTGACAGCACTTCAAGAGGCAAATTGTGGGTCACATCGGTCATGTATTCCTAATCTAGGAACCAAATCATTAGTGCGAGCGCTTCTTCAAGGAAGCTCCCCCCTTTAGGGTGGGGGGAGCTTCCTTGAAGAAGCGTGAGCTATCCTGCGTCCATATGTAACAACGTTCTTGTATCTACTAGGTACCTAGCTACTACCTTCCTAGCTACCTAGCTACGGCCTACCCCCCCTCCGTGGGTGTGCACAATGAAGAATTCCGCTGGATTGATCGCACCTCCCTTGTGACGCTCAGTGATTCTCTCTCTCTCTCTCTCTCTTTGTTTGTCTCAACGCCCTGTCTCAGTGATTCTCTTTCTTTAAACGTAATTAAGTCATTTTTGCTTAGACGTCTGCAAAGCGGTCATGATTGTGCCACTCTTAGGTGCAGCTCTTTGGTGGCAAGCTGCTGGCGTCCAACCCCCGTTTAGAGGGTAAGGATTTGGGCTACTTCAGTAGCCACTACCAGGTCAGCTTGCTTTTTGGGGCGCGTGGACCCTTTTGGTTTTATCATGTGGCTTCTTTCAGAGAGTGTTTGCCTCCTATGAATGTAGGAGCTTGTTGGACATGCAGGTTTTCAATTTTAACGACGTTCCCTTGGGAATGATCACACTGTTTGTCAAGGGCTCAGGTGCTATGGCTTGCGTAGTTCCGCATCTACGGATTTTGGTCACAGGTCTGGACGCTTGGTGACTGGAATGATGACATTGCAGTTGCATGCCTAGAACCTTGGTTGCACTGATGCTGGGAATTTCATTTCTTATACATGCTAGTCCACATGACCAAAATTGCTTTATCAGCTTCTAAGCAGGAACAGCAGGCCTGGAGAAGGCGGCCCCTGAAGCATTGCATACAGCAGAAAGACCTACAATCAGTCTTTATTCCATCCTTGAAGGTGCCGTCCGAATACTAAGCAGCAATGACAGTTTATTGTTCCGTTTCTGCGGCGGTTAGAGAAATATATATATATATACACAGTTACATGGTATTCTATGTGCGTTGCCTATATATATATATCTATATATATATATATGTCAAACAACACTGAAGTCAAGCAGGATTGGGCTGCATTGAAAATCTCGGCGCTAGGAGTCCTTTTCCTACGTATGACATGCTGTTGAAAGCTTTGACGTGGATACTCTTTGGGGAGTTTTGGAAGCCTACATCAAATGTGACATCGAATCAGAGCTGCACCAGCCTGAGGAACTTGCAGAACCTTGGACGTTTTACAAGGTGAGATGAATGTGCTGCAGCACTGCAGTTCTTACACTCAGACAATGCTGATTGTCATACACGGCCAGGCTTTGATATGGACCTTCCTGCTGAGCTACTACATTGCCTCTCCCCTTTTGGCTTACAACGTGCCCGTTCGGCATTCATGTTGATTTGGACAATTTAGGGTTTTGTTTGTTTCAGAGGCTGTCAGTTGAATGACAAGATATCCAAGTAGCAAAGGTTCTCTCTGCTTTTTCAATCGATGTCTACCAAAAGATTGACGAAGAGGTGTGGCAAAGATGCCTTGTCATACTGCAACATCACTTTGTGTTGCTTTGCTTTGAAGTTCAGAGTTCAGACACATCATACTCATTGAAGACTTTGGACCAGGTTCAGAACCGGGAGGCCTGGTGTGTATGTGAAAGGATGTGATGCCATAGAAATGTGGAAGGCTCCTGCACAGCGTGCAACTTTGGACCAATTACTAGTTCCATGTGTGGCCGTACCTTCTGCAGACTGAGTGAGCTTTGAAGCTTACTTGAGCGTCTCCTTAAGTGCTTCTAAAGGGTTTCACCCAATAATAAGGGCCTTTTTGACGATTGTTGATTTCAAGTTGAGGAGAAGGGCTATGAGCTTTGTGATGTGGAACGGAACTTGCTTCTCATCCAGGCCAGGTACGGACATCCTGCAGCGTGATGGGTCAGCTGACAGCGAGTCTTTCGGAGTCCAGAAAAATATTCTTCAGGCAGAAATGGCCGACAATGGCTTGGTCTTACACATGAAGGACATTTGCAAACTTTCAAGGACATGAGCATTTGTCGTCCGATGGTACCAGGAGTCCTCTGACTTGGCGAAGCTGCGAATCCACACCGCTCTCTTCAGCTGAGGCCCCTGGAGCTAAAGCTCTGGAGTGTTGCCTACATGTTTACCAACCACTGAGAACTAAGAAGCTCCGTTGTGAGCACCTCAAGACCCATACGCTTTGCCTTGCTCAGCTTTTCCAGGCTTTTCTTGTGACACCTTCATGTAGAATTCTGCTAATGCGCGCCACAGAGCCGGTAAATACGCTCGGCTCGTGGCCACTCAGTGATCGCTTTTCGCCAAGAAAGAAACAAGAACACTCTTGCGCGCTTCCTGCCCTGATGCCTCACGGCTTGGCTGTGCCTAGCTGATGCTGTATAGACTCCTGGAATTGATACAACCTCATTAGATGTCATTGAAAGCAGGCTGATGTTCTAAACATGTGCGGAATAAAAACAACAGACAGACAGACAGACGGACAGACAGACAGCCAGCCAGGCAGGCAGACAGGCAGACACAGAGACAGACAGAGACAGAGACACACACACACAGACAGACACACAGAGACAGACACACAGAGACAGACACACACACAGATTCAAGTTCGAACCTTGGAAAGCCACGAGTTCCGTTAATTCACCGATATTTCATCTCCACTATCCTTCGCTGACCGAGTCTCGAGCTTTGTTTCTTGGCGGGGGCCATATAGACTGGGTGCCTCTCGACTTGTCTGAAGAGCGCTTAGGGTTTGGAAACAATGCCAAAACCAGACTCAAAGATGGTGTTTTTGTCAATTCTTAGGACATTTGCAGTGTTCACGAAACCATCAGCATTTTGTAAAGCATCTGATAATTACACATTCTAGTGGCAATTCTTTCACGCAAAATACAATACAATGGGTTCCCAACACATGGTTCCGCCTCCAACGCACAAATACTACTACAATTCCAGCAGGCAGGTGGAGGGCTCCTCATACATAGGGAGCCATGGCGCTTGAAGGCTGCTTGTGCACGGGAGGCTCAGATGGGCATCGAATAATCCAGGTATCGATGGATTTTTGTGGAAGAAAACTGAGCACCGATGTTTTCTGTAGGACAAGCTAGTTTGGCTTGGGTGGGGGATGGAGGCTTGGGTGCCATTTTGGCTCAAGCCTCCATCCAATGTCCTTAAGGGCAATGTTTCTGTTGGGCTGGGTGGTGGCTATCCTCGCGAGTGGCTTGCATGTTGCCGTCTGCGGTGGCGGCCCGAGCCATGGTGAACGTTCAGGACATCCTCGACCACTTTGCGGTGCCGACGGAGCTTTGGCAAGCTTTCGAGCGGGAAGCCGGGTCACCGGGCGACGACATCCGTCTACTTGCCGCCCTACCAGGTTCGGCCATTGCTGCCTCCTTGACTCAGGCTACATTGCCTGGAAACGTTCCCCTTTCGGCTATCCAAGCCGCTCATGTGGGATTGGCTTGGAAGTTGGCGAGGAAGCTGATGCATGTGAAAGGCGGTGGCGACTGGGACTCCTGGGTGGAAGAGGGTCCATGGGCTCCAATGACAAGCACAGGAAAGCCTACAACCTCACCAGGTGCCTCAACCGCGATGGACGAGCCCAAGGACGCGAAGGGGAGGATTTTGAAGTTCACTCAAGTGCTGGACCAAGGGGGCAGACGACGGGGAGTTCGAAGTATTGAACGAAGACGACAAGCTGGTCCTACTGCAGAAGTACATTGCATCGACGGGTTCACTGCCGGAGGAGGAGGAAGAACCTACCACGGAACAATTGTCCGCTCTTCGAAAGAAGTTAACGCTGGGAAAACCTCCCTACGCCTACGCGGACTTCGGGGTGTTCGTACCGTTCGGAATGAAAGCACTACGGGCTTCAAAGTATCGTACATGGATCCCCACGGCGGAGGGCTACGTGTCGAAGGAATTAATTACCTGGTCCGGCGAATTTCACACAGTGGAGAGCTTGCTTCAGAGTCTTCACAACTGCTCGAGGAATGCACACTAGCGCCCCTACATGCCTACGAGCTCTATGTGGAAAAGATGGCAAGGCTGTATCCGGACGCCTGGCACCTGGTCTACGCAGCCGACGAGATGGCGAGGGGAGGACCTACCCCCAGATTTTCCCAGGGCTACGACGACAAGAAACCGTGGGAATCAGTGTTTCGATTGGTTCCGGGGGAATTGAAATTTTTGGCAGGGCCAGATACACGGTGCAGCCCTTACGTGGCTAGCCAGCGGGGCGAAAGGCAGAGCACGAACCCCACAGGAATCCATTGCAGAGGCCAACCTACGAGGCGGTGCAGATGCCCTGATGTCATCGCTGGAGTCAGGAACTTTTGGAGCGACTTCAGCGACGGCTTCAACATTGAGTCGAAGGCAGACGAACAGAGATCGAAAAGAAGCGAAGAAGAGAAAATGGCAGGCAGTGCGCGAAGAGCTCCAAAAGCTCCAGGAAAGCCGATCCGACGCAGGTGGAGACCGCAGGGCAGGAGGGAAAGGAGGAAACAGGAAAGGAGAAGGGGGAAAACAGGGCGACGCCATTTGTTACAGTTGGAACAATGGGAATGCACCGCGTGGATCCTTGCCAGCGGGAGCGGAATGTCAGAACACGACAGCGGGCTCACAGGTGCTCATCGCGCGGTTCGCCAGGTCATCCGGGACACAAATGCACAGTGAAGAAGTAAAGAAAGAAAGCGGCGGACAGGATCAAGGTGACGAAGGCGACAGGGAGAAAGATGACAAAGAAGAGGGAGTTGAGAAGGAGAAGGAAGAGAAGAAGGACAAGGACACGATCAAGAGGGAACTTAAAAAAAAATCGACAAGTGCATCAAAGGTCGCAGGTTCAGGTTCTTGCATCACTTCGCAGGACCAAGGGACCCTTTGGGCGCAGCAATCCATCGGGTGGCGAAGAAGAGGGGCCTGAATGTGGAAGTCATCGCGGCCAAGAAGGATTGGGGCCAGGATCTTTGTGAGGATGAACCCTACAATACACACCTCAAATGGGCCAGAGAAGGTTTGATTGACGGCTATCACAGTGGCTTCCCCTGCACTACGTTTTCACGAATGAGGTTCAGGTTCAGGGAATCACCAAATATGCCGGGCCCTGTGAGAAATCGATCTGAACCATACGGGTGCAGCAAGAACAACGAGGCCCAGCAGAGGTACTTGCGCCTATCAATCCTGCCGAGCACGAGGTGACCGACACTGGAAGCCACAACGATTTGCAGGGACGCTCTACGGCATTGAGACGATGACGAGGGAGTGCAGATGTGGCAATGCCAGACATCGACCGATCATAGGGAAGAGAGAGTCGCAAGAGTCGGGCGAATACCCCGTGGAATTATGCCAAACGTAATCGTACCAGCGCCTTGAACTTCTTGCATCAAGCAAGAAACGCCTTATATCTGTCTCGCCTGTCTCTTCCCCGTGCTCACTCTTCCGCACTTTACCCCTGCAGCCTCAATCTTTCGAAGTTGTTCACACGTGGGGTTATCCGGTCCTATAATTGTTTCCTACCTCAAAAGCCAATCGCGCCCCCCCTTGAAAACATAGCAACAAACCTTTTCAAATTGCAGGAGCAGACTGCGCAAATCAAGAAGTGTACCAAGATGTGCGGTTTGAAAGCCATTTTTGCATCAAGCACTGCGGAAAAGGGAGTCCATGGTGCGATCATAACCAGCAGGTTATGAGCCCAACCGCCCTGTAAGACCACCGCGAGGTGAGGTGGTGGCTGCCCCAGCTTCGGTGTGGCGATGATGGCACGGAGGCAGCGGCAAGCGCCTGGCGAAGGCGAGGAAGGTATGTGGCCGGGCGCAGGATCTCCGGAAGGGATGGGTCCTGAACACCAGGCATTCATGCAGATGTTTGCCATGCTGAGTCAAGAGAATCAGCAGCTTCATGGACGCCATGAAGTACCAGAGGGCCAACCTGGACTTCGGAAGGAGTTGGAGCAGCAGACGTTTGGCGCCCCAGAGTGGCGACACGGTCAAACGCCAGTTGGAGTTGACGGCTTGCGAATCACCCAAGAGTCTGAAGTTGACATGGAAAGGAGAAGGCTGCGCGAAATGACGCCAGTGCAATTCGAGCGCCTGCAAGCTATGATGGGCACTACCGCCCCAGCGCCCGGGAAAAGAGGTGGTCGAGGTCAGCGGGAACGATCGCGGTCACTTCAACAACAAGGAACCGGAAAGGAGTTGGTCAAGCAAGAAAGAGATCAACTGCCGAGCACCCAGTCAGAGGGGGTCAGTGCATTTGGAAGCCATGAAGGCGGCAAGATGATGGATGTGATGACGGAGTTGGTTAATGACTTGGTCGCCGACCTGGGAGTGTGAAACCTGCATGGTGCTCCCTTGCCGAGCCTGCCGGAGCCATCTGAAACGGCCTCGATCGACTTTGCAGCAGATTGGATGACCGCCATCGAACCGATTATGACGGACGTGTTGGATACCAGTCATGAATGGTGGACTTTGCTGCTGAAGAGGCCAAGGACTGGTACGATCACTATGCGAGACTGAGACCATTGCCGCGAACAATTTGCGTCTTTGAGGTCAAAGGAACTGATGAAGACCAAGTGGCGGTCGCGGGCCCAAAAGTGGCGGTGGCAATGTTGATGTCAGCGATTCTGCAGTCAGCAGGGAGGAGCTCATTGCCAAGGCGCTGACGCCCTTGCAGGCGGTGACCAAGCTCATGACGCTCTACCAGTCTGGCGGGATCTATGAGAAGACAGTCATCATCCTGAAGCGGAACTGAGGCAACCTGAGTGGAGGCAGGAGTGACCACCTTGCAACGATGGATAAGATCTCTGAAGCGCTCTGGATTAGCTCTCCCGGACTGGGCCATCCTGCTTCGTGGTCTGCGCAAGCGCTTGCGCAACCAGACCTCCCAGTTCCGTCGCAAGAAACTGTCAGGACATATGCTGATCATCTCTTGGCGGAACTTGAGCAGCTACTTCACAAGGTTCGACCTGGTCGAGGCCATCTACAGCAACCCGTTGGTGGATTGCAAGCGCAAGTACTTCATGACTGAAGCAGGCTGTCGACGGGGACAATCATGCAAGTGGGTTCACCAGGCGGAGGGAGGCGAACGCGGTTGCTTTACCTGTGGGTCTATGCAGCGTTTTGCGAAAGAATGTCCTTGGAAAGAAACTACGAAGGGGAAGCCTCCTTGGGATGCCAAGAACATGAATGAGTCACCTTCAGGAAGTCCCAAACAACGAGTACAGCCAGCGAGTCAGGAGCTTCTATATATGTCCCCTCAGCCGATGGGCATCGGCGCCATCGACGTGTGGCCTTCCAGGGTCATAAACTCAAGGAGCGCACCT